ATCAATATGTACTGTTGAGTTTAACCTTTGCACCCTGCAAGGTCAATCAGGCCCACATTTTTTTGAGTATTTAGTTTTGACTTTATTTGTGACAAACTGTGATAGCTTTTCACAACAATTCTAACTTTAACAAAATGATTCATAAAGCCTATTTGAAAGTATATTTGTTGGTGAGGTGTTTCTCTACTCAGTGAATGTATAAAATGCATATGCAGAAGTAACATCCCGTTCTCCATGCCAACCACAAATTGGTGCTGCACCTGCTGCATGAGCGGGAAACAGTTCCTCGGTATCTGTGGAAGGCCTCATAAACCACTCACACTCATATATAATTGCTTTAAGATGGGGTTTAATATGGCCGACCCTCTGCAGGTTCACACAATTGAAGTGAAAAGTAGGTAGGGCGAGGCAGTAGCCACTTATTGGGAAAGGCCTATACAGTATGAGGCCTCTTAGTGTGCTTCCTATAAAGGCTTGAGATCCCCACCTCTCACTCTCTTCCTGTGGACCTTGCCCAGGCTGCATTATCAGATATGTGATTGGCTTTCACTGCATGCTGAAGGATTTCACTTTTCAGAAGGTTAAGTCAAGTTCAGCAGACCTGCAAAATACTTTCAGAACCAGGTTGCTTTGAACAGACTGTCTGCAAAGTTCTTTCTTCACGTTTGCAGGAGTACGTTTCAGCCAAAGGTCAGAGAGGGACTTATGATCCCTCAATCATCCAAAAGAACCAAGCATCCCAGCAAGGCTATGAAATCAGCAGCTGCCCTAAGCATCACTGAACATGCAAAACATTTTGTATTTTTCATGATTTATGGTTATTTCAAATGTTATCCTGTGTTCCAAAGGTGAACAGTAAAGCTAATGCAACCACATGCTGCTGACTAAATAATATCTAACCAGAGGCTAAACCCTCTTTAGCTGGGCTTCTTACTCAAGTTTATTGTCCCTGAAACCATCACATAATTCTGAGATCAATTATTTAAATGGATGTTGATTTTTGAATTAAAAAATCATTTTATGAAATATTATTTACCAGAAAATAATTTATGTACTTCTTGGATTTGCTTTGTAAATTG